GAGTATACATCATGTTTGTCTGTGTGGTTCCAGATTTACTTGCTCAGAATAAAAAAACGACCTCATGAAAGTAGATATCAACAACATAAATGATCAAAAAAAAGTGTGGTAAAGATTAAAGCAGTGAATTCTAAATAGCTGGATTTAAACTAGCTTAAAAACACTTAAGTAAATTTTCAACACCCTTAGCCATCAAGGGAATGCAAATCAAAACTACCTTAAGAATTCATCTTATACCTGTCAGAATGGCTAAGACCAATAACACAAGTGACATCTCATACTGGCAAGAATGTGGAATAAAGGGGACACTTCCACATTGCTGCTGGGATTGCAAACCTGTAAAGCCATTTTGGAAATCAATATGGCAGTTCTTTAGATCATTGGGAATCTATCTACCTCAAGACTCAGCTATACCACTGTGGTAGTTTGAATGGAGTTGGCCCCCATAATTAAAGAGGGAGTGGAAGTAGTGGGAGGTGTGGCCGTTTTGGTGTGGGCATAGACTAGTCAGAGGAAGTATGTCAGATGACTTCGTGTTGCCACTGAGCCAAGATGGAGGTACTACAGGCTCCAGTGTCATACCTGGCTCTCCGCATGTATGCTCTCAGCCATGATGATAATTGACTCAACTTCTGATATTGTAAGTGAGCCACCTCAATGAAATGTTTTCATTATAAGAGTTTGAATGATCAGTGTGATCCTTCATGGAAATAAAAACCTAACTAAAACAGAAATTGGTCCCAGGGACTGGGGTATTGCTGTACTAGGCCTGACCATACTTTTGCTTGAAATAATATGAACTTTGGGACTTTGGATTAGGAAAAGTTTTAAATGCATTAAAGACAGCATAATTGACTATACTAAGAGGAGCATGGGAGAGAGTGACCTTGATAATAATATGAAATATTGGGAGCCAGCTCAAGAAATTTGAGAGTAGGGTTTTAGTATGTTGCCTAGAAATTATCCTTGTGATATTTTGGTGATGGAAGTGGCTGCAATTTGCCTCCATCCAAAGAACCTACCTGAGGCTAAAGTAAAATGGTTTTGATTATTCCATTGGCAGAAGAATTCTCAAAATAGACTAGGATAGACTGTCATGTGGATATAGTTGGTAACTCTACTGAAGATATATAATGAAAGGAGCAGCAGAAAAAGAAAATTTGCTTGAGGAAAAAGGGGCCCCAAAAAGTAGAATTGCAGCTAAATTCGTTGTTCAAGGACATAAACAGATTAAGAAATGGAATAAAGGGAGTGTTGGCACTTGCCTTCAATCCTAGCCTTTGGAGAGAGTGACTTATCTCTGCAAATTCAAGGTCAACCTGGTCTAAGGAGCAATTTTCAGGACAGCCAAGCTTAGGCAGTAAAAGAAAGAAAGCTGGTGAAATATAATTAAACAAGGGGCCAAGTTCCAGCCCCAGTGAGCAGCAGAACCTGACAGCTTTGGTCACGTGCTTCTGGCTTAAGTCTTAATGATAGGATAAAGACATTTAGATCCTCTGGTTCTGGTTGGCTGGGTCTTAAGTATCAGCTGTGATGAGCAAGTTATCAGATGAATTTAAGCAAAATTCTACTTTGCTGGGTACATGATTCTGGTTGGCTGGAGTTAAGAGACTAACTTCGCTGATGTGAAATGTCTGGGAAGTGTTTCCTAAGAGTACAGAGAAGCTGTCTTCCAAAGGTAGCCAAGGTTGTACCTCATGCTGGTAGATGGACTTGGTAATATGTCCATATGGTAGTACTGGTTTTGAAGGTATGGATGAATGTGAGGCATGGCACTTTGGGATGGCAAGAAAGTCCATTGGAGAAGGTGCAGTCTTACTGGCACTTGAAGGCCCAGGACTGTAAAGGACATGCCAAAAAGTTGAGACGTGACACCCTGAAGAGATCCTATGAGAGACTACTGGTGAAAATGCAGCCCAGTTGCAACAGAAGACCCCAGTGTTTTGTAGAAGCCAGCACTGTTATGTGATGAGCAAGAACAGCAGTGTCAGTGGAATTGAGTCATCCAGAGTCTATAAGACCAGCTGTATATACTACAGAGGACAGAGTCAGTGTATTAACAAGACCTGTGGAGGAGCCTGGGAGATCATAAGTGAATCTTAGATATTGGAAGGATGGAATTTTTTAATTATGCAAGATGCCAGGTTCATAGGATATCTGATGAGGAGAGCTGCTAATGGGGAGTGAAACCAGCCAACGAATAAGATGTGTGTTGGACTCAACAAAGCTGAACAAAATTGGAGAGTGGGAGAGCTGTTGGACATAGAGTTAGTTATCATTATATTGACTTTTTTTTTTCTTTTTTGTTACTTGTATTTGGTTTTACTTTAGTACTCTGAGCCATCCATTTTCTGATTCCTGCCCTGTAGGCTTTCATCCTGGCAACCTTGGGCCTCAATTTAGGCCAGTCATTGGTTTGACACTATACCAAACTTGAGCCACCATTTTCCTGGTATATCTTACAGACATAACAAGTTTGTGTCAAATATTTTATGGTTTTCTCGTCCAACCAGTGTGGACCGTATGTGATTACAAAAGATGACTAGTTCAGGCTCCATATCTGAGTTACTGGGAGTCTTCACTAGAATCACCTTTTAGCTTGTAGAAAGTTGCTACTGCACTGTTTCCACACCACCCCTGATACTTTCTTTTCTTGTTCCAAGTTCAACCACAAAATCTAGTCTAGTTCCTCTTTGCAGGAGGCCTCTATGCACCCTCTACTACAGCCATCCTTGTTACTTATTCTCTCTGGGTTTGTTGATTGTACTGTGATTATTCTTTATTCAACAGCTAATATCAATTTACATTGGGTATATATCATGTTAGTTAATGTGATTAACATTTACTTGCTCAGAAGGAAAAAAAACTCAAGATGCTACACATCAACAAATAAATTAATCAAATAAAAATGCAGTTTGGAATTAAACAAAGAATTCTCAATATATTGAATCTAAACTGGCTTAAAGACACTTAAGTAAATTTTCAACATCCTTAGCCATCAAGGGAATGTAAAGCAAAACTACCTTAAAAATTCATCTTATACCTGTCAGAATGGCTAAGACCAATAACACAAGTGGCATCTCATGCTGGCAAGAATGTGGAATAAAGGGAACACTCCCCCATTGCTGCTGGGATTGCAAACCTGTATAGCCATTATGGAAATCAATGTGGCAGTTCTTCAGATAATTGGGAATCTATCTATCTCAAAATTCAGCTACATCTCTGTGGTGGTTTGAATGTAGTTGGCCTCCATAATCTCCTACGGAGTGGCAGTAGTAGGAGGTGTGGGTTTTTTGGTCTGGGTATGGCCAAGTCAATTCATTATCATAAATGTTATAAAAGACTTCACATTTAAACATTTCAGGGACTGTTGCAGCCTATGACAATCATTGAAGTTAGACTAAATACTTTTACATCATGAGGTGACTATGGCCATTTAGAGATCTGGGTCAGAATGTAGTTGATTGAAGGAAAAGCTCCAAGATATAATGAGGTATTTGAACACTTGTCTTTCCTTGGTGCCCTTTTTTGTTGTATTTGTGGAACCTTTACTAGGAGAAGGCTTTTTAATGAAATTCCACATTGGGGATTGGATTTACATGTTTATAGCTTCAACTCATATCTGGTTGTTTGTGTCCTGCTGCCATGACTTCACCACTATTATAGATGGTGTCACTAAATGACAAAACACACAGTTGAAGCAATTGCTATTCAGTGTTAATCATTTTTGCTGCTCTGATTTTTATTTTAAATTTTTATTTTTAGTTTTGTTTCTGAAAGACAATGTTTTTGTTTGTAACTCTGGCTGTCCTGAAAGTATCTCCTTAGACTATCATGACATCCACTGAGAGATATATCCCTCTGCACAGAGAAATTAATAGTGGAGAACATGCTTTGTTTTATGTTTTTTATTGACTGATGTGTTTGGAATGTAGATTTTTGTAAATTCCAATCATTTGCTGCTGTGCTGAAAATCCCTATGTCTTAATTTTGAACTGTGGTGGAGGGTATCCTTCTCTTTTCCAGGATAACAGTATCCATGACATTAATACCTGTGTCTTCTGAACCAATGGATTGGAGATGTGTGACATTCTACCTGTTTTTTTTTTTTTAATTCTATTGAATGAGAATGCGTTTATTTTGATACACATGGGTATGTACCAAATGTATGCCTATTCCTCATAGTGGTCAGAAGAGGCCTCAGAACACACAAAGCTAAAGTAATGGATAGTTATAAACCCTAAGTACTTGCAATTGAGCACACTTCTCCGCAAGACCAGCAAGACCACTTAAGTGCTGAGCCAATTTTACTTCCCTATCATATTTATGATCAGTATTTACAGTGCTTATGTTTTCTTTGGTCCATTTCTAACTGTTCAACATTTACTCCTTTTTAGTAAGGTTTTATTATGCTACAATGTAACTGGGCCATGGCAGGTTCTGGATGATGAATGCAGGACTACATGAATGCAAAACATTTTGTAGGAACTTCAGTAAAAACCTCTGATTTCTTTTTACATTTTGTTGTTTAAATGATTTTTGGTGAGAAGACAGGGTTTTATTAATGTGTAACTCTGGCTTACCTGTAATAGGTTTTGACTGGCATCCAACCCAACTTAATTTAATTCATCTGCTTTTACATTGAGTGCTGGTATTAAGATATGAGCCAATATACCCAAGTTTCCCATCTCTTTTCTAGTTAATAATCATCCACACTATTTTTCTGATGTGTTCTCAGTAGTGTTGATCTGCTTGCTTGTCTCTGTCTGTATGTCTGTTCATTGCCATTTCTTTCTCACGGCTGTATCCTATGTAATGGGCCAAGGAATGGCACATATATGCCTCCTCTTCAGCTCATTTCTAGAGTGAGTGGTGATTACATTATTTCATGAAAGAACTGTAGGAAGCATAAGAATTATGTGAATATATTACAGTAAAAGAAGTATTCATTTACAATGTCAGGTTCACACTTTGTTTTACTATTGTTTGGATTATTCTAGAATGCAGTGACCTATGATGATGTGCACATTGACTTCACTCGGGATGAGTGGGCCTTGCTCAATCCTTCTCAGAAGAGTCTCTATAAAGATGTGATGCTGGAGACATACAGGAACCTCACAGCCATAGGTAAGACTGTGAACTTTCCTTCACATTTTAATGTAAAGGGACAACTGTGCCTTAGTTATTGATTCTCTTGCATAGTTTTGTTTAAGAAAGAATAAGAATGAGCTGAATAAATACTGCATTGTTCATTTATGATAGTACATTTTGCACAATTTCCAATAATATATCATCCATTTTCTGGTACTATGTTTTAGGCTATAGTTGGGAAGATCATAATTTCAAAGAACATTGTCAAAGTGCTAGAAGACATGGAAGGTAATTTTTATGTAAATTTTGATACAAATTTCCCTTGAAAAAAAATTAATGTGTCCTGGCAGATTTAAAGCAAGACAACAGTAATAAATAAGAACAGCTTGAAATGTATTGATCATTATCAATTTCTCACAGTCATATGCCTCCATATCGGGTAGCTGTTTGGTGTTTTCAAGGCATTCCTCTCAAAAAAAAGAAGATAAGGAAACAATGTTTTACTGATACCACCAATTGAATCATAGCCCCATGAGAACTATTCCATAGAAATGCCAATTCATATAGTTTATGCAACTCCAGTACTGCACAAGGCATACACATTGAATAGATGATAAGTATATGTCCAAATCTGTATGAGAAATAAAGTCTGTAGTAAAGCTAGAGTTACTCATATACCTGTGGCTTTGCTAACCTTATTGAAATGGTTAGTTTATGAAAGTCAAAAAGGCTTCTGTGGAGAAACCTAAATCCCTACTCCACATGTTTGTGAGGGACAAAATCTCAAATTGTGTGAATTCAATGGAAAAAATCATTTATTTGTTCTTCCTTTCATAAGAATATCATATGTCACTCTGAACACAAGCAAGTGAGCATGTGAATATGTGAAGAATGACTGGAACTCTCTCAGAATAATGAGAAAATATGAAAGAAATTTAGTATTTCAACCTTGGGTAGACATGTTGAATGTGATACAAGGTTATATTTAATTAGTTTTCCAACTTAATTGGAAAGACATCAGCAAACTCTCACTGAAGAAAAGCCCTATGAGTGTTGGACTGTGTACTTATTTTGTTTATCCTAGTTCTCTTTCTTATGCAGTATCTATTAAACTATAAGAAAATCTTAGAATGAAATAAGTTTGGTAAAGCTTATTTAAAACTGAGTAGTTCTAGTTTTTTCAAATACATAAAAAGTCTCATATAAAATTAATTCATACAGATAAGATTCACTAGAGTAATGCATGTGATAAATTTTTTATATGTTCCAGTTATCTTTGCAGGTATGAAAGAAGCCATACCGGAGAGAAACCCTCTGAATATACACAATGTGTTAAATCCTTTGCATGTTACAGTTTTCTTCACAGGCATGAAAAAATTCATTCTTCAGAGAACCCATATGATTGTATTCAACATGATGAAGCCTTGGCATGTCGCAGTTGTCCTCAAATATTTAAAAGAACACATGCTGGAGAGAAACACTATGAGTGTAATCAATGCAGTAAAGTTCTTGCCAGTCATGGTCAGCTTCAAAAACATAAAAAACCACATTCTGGGAAGAAACCCTACACATGCAATCAATGTGATAAAGCCTTGTCACAGAACTATACTCTCCAACTACACCAAAGAACATATACTGGAGAAAAACCTTATCAGTGTAATCAATGTAGTAAAGCATTTGCAAGTCATGACCTGCTTCCCAGACATGAAAGAACACATAGTGGAGAGAAGCCCTTTGAATGTAATCAATGTGATAAAGCTTTTTCACGGCGCTCTGGACTCCAAAGACATGAAAGAATACATACTGGAGAGAAACCCTATGAATGTACTGAATGTGGTAAAGTCTTTGCATATAATCATCATCTTCAAGTACATAAAAGAACACATACTGGAGAGAAGCCCTTTGAATGTAATCAATGTGATAAAGCCTTTTCACAGAACAGTGCTCTCCGCATACATCAAAGAACACATACTGGAGAGAAACCTTATCAATGTAATCAATGTGATAAAGCTTTTTCACAACTTAGTAGTCTCAAAACACACAAAAGAACACATACTAGAGAGAAACCGTATGAATGTAATGAATGTGATAAAGCCTTTTCACAGGTTAGTAGTCTCAAAAAACACAAAATAACACATACTAGAGAGAAACCATATGAATGTGATGAATGTGATAAAGCCTTTTCACAACTTAGTAATCTCAAAGCACATAAAAAAACACATACTTTACATGAAACCTATGAATGAAATCAATGTTGTAAAGACTTTTCACAACTTAGTAGTCACCAAAATCATTAAAGAACACATACTGAAGTGAATTCTTATGAATGTAGTCAATATGATAAAGCTTTTGCATGTGATGGCCAGCTTCACAGAGAAAAAAAACACATACAAAAGAGAAGCCCTTTGAATGTAAGCAATGTGGTAAAGATTTTTCACAGAGCTCTCAACTTTAAATACAGAAAGAAAAAAAAAAACCCTAGGAATGTCATCAATGTGAAAAAGCCTTTTAATATGTTAGTAGTCTCCAACGTCACAAAAGAATACATACTGGAGGGGCTGGAGAGATGGATCAGAGGTTAAGAGCATTGCCCGCTCTTCCAAAGGTCCTGAGTTCAATTCCCAGCAACCACATGGTGGCTCACAGACATCTGTAATGGGGTCGGGTCTGGTGCCCTCTTCTGGCCTGCGGGCATACACACAGACAGAATATTGTATACATAATAAATAAATAAATAGAATACATACTGGAGAGAAAGCTTATGACTGTAATCAATGTAAAGTCTTTACATCCACCAAGGAACACATGTTGAATATAAACCCTACAAATTTAGCTAATGTGGTAAAGCATTTATATGTGTCATTAGGCTTTGAAATCTTGAGAAAAAAAAAGCTGCAGTGAAACTCTTTTTTTTTTTTGAGACAAAGTTTTTCCATAGTATTACAGTCTATTTTTGTACTCACCCATAGAAGAGGCTCACCTTGCACTCAGAGATTTGTCTGTCTCTGCCTCTCTAGTGCTAGATTAGAGGGGTGTGCCACCACTGTCTGACCAGAGGAACTCTTTAAGTATAATGAGTGTGGTAAAGTTTCCCTCTTCTTGGTAGGCTTTATACAAGAGTAAAACTTTTAGTAAATAATAGGTCTTTTAAAGCCTTTGCATATCACAGTACTCTTTGAGGACTTGAGAAGATTCATATTGAAGGGAATGTGACTATACATGATTGGTAATATTTTCAGGCAGCATACATTTATGTAAATAAAATTGTAAAGAAAAACATCTTCAAGTGTCAGCCATCTGTTGAGTTTTCTACTTTGTTTGTACCAGTAAAATTATATGGATAGTTGTTCTGTGAATTCATTGATTTCACACTTCTTCAATTACATAAATGCACTTATCCAAATGTAAAATTTTTTAGATGTGTATGAGGGCCTCTTATGTGTCTGTGATAAAGCATAATGTCTAAGTCAATTTTTTAATTTAGAGTTTAATTTGACTTTGGGTTCCAGAGGTTTACAGGATCACCATGAAAATGTCATGAAAAAAAAAAGAAAATGTCATGAAAACATGTTCAGAACTCACATCCTCTTTCTGTAGCAGGAACCAGGGGTAGGAACTTGAAATGATGTGTGGATGTACACCCTTAGCCACAACCCCCATGGCATATTTCTTCCAGGGGTACTGTGTTTCCTAAATCTTCCCAAATGATGCCAACAATTTAGAAAGATTAATTTCTCTAACTTCAAGTCTACATGCTTGCCTTTTCTTACACGAACCCATTCTTGTTGAAGAAAAACTCTGTAAGTAAACCTTTAAATGCCTTAGCATGTGGGTTACAGGGATGAATGCCTATTAGAGAAACATTCATGACTGAAAATTGCAGTCTGTTTTTGGTATATTTGATAATAATTTTATTTAATTTTAATTGTGTGATGTCCTTGTGTTTGCGTGGTATATGAATGTTCATGCTTCTTCCCAAGAAGGTTAAACCCTTGTGTATTCCTGAAGTAAGAAGTACAGGAAGTTCTCAAAAACCTGATAAATAAACTGAATATAACTGCTTTTTCATGTTTCTAGGCCTGTAAATATTTTTGAAACTTTTTAATCATCTTGATATCAGTGAAGAACTCATACAAAAGACAAACCTTCCTCATGTAAATTATTTGTTATAGACTTTAGATATCACAGTTGGCATAGTCTCAAGAAATTTTTGTCTCATGTGTTTTTCATAATTATTTACTATCATCATTCAAGACTAATGATAGAGATGACCGCATTATGTTTTCTAATTTGCAATGTCGGAGATAGATATTAAAGTGTTCTATAGGTTTAGCGAATCCATTAAGTGAAGGTTATTTTGTGGTCTTTGTATTCCTGCTGTGGCTGGTTTTACTGAGAGATAGGTAATTTTCTGCTGAAATATATAGAATGAGATGCCCATCATCTAAGTGTTACATTGTTCACTAAATATCAGGCAGTGTTTGATCATGCTTTTCAAGGGTGTCTGTGAAAGGGGAGGTAATTGTTTTTCTTTGTTTTGTTTTCCATATCTTTACAAATTTCCTTGAAATGTTATCCAGGCTAGCTTATATGTCAATAATTAGTTATGGATACATTTGACCTCACAATTCTCATGTGTCAGTGTCTTGAGTGTAAGTTCATGGTTAGATGATGTACCCCAACATTTGCTCTTTTGTCAACATTTAACAAAGTTAATGTTAAAATGCTTAATAGAGAATATAAAAAAAAACATTAAAAACCTCATGTGAAGAAAAGAAACAACCTTTTCTTCAAACTGGTAGAGGTATAATAATGTAGAAAAATAAGCCCTCAATTGCATATTTCACAGTATAGCTTGATATCCTAATGGTATGTATATATAATTTAAAGTTCTATACATCTTCCTGGCCCCATTAGTTATCCATTTGTTACTTCATCATAAATTGGTTCCTTCTAAGGGAATTGTTCAGAGATGTTAGATAATGTTAAATCAATGAGATTTATTTGAAAAAAAGCTTCTGTTATATGTATGTGATATGATTATGGGGTATTAGATCTGACTGGTATGTGGAGACCATAAAACAAGATTGTTGTGTTGACTTTTGGCTCTCTTTATATGGTGATCAAGATTAGGTTACCAGCTTTGCACACCATACACATTTCTCACTGGTATATCAACTCGACCCGATGAGTTAAAGACATTAAGTCAGTAAAATATTGTCTTTTTAGATTGTAAACATGTTTTCATTGTAGACTAGAGGAAAACAGAACACTTGGAATAATAAAACCTTTTTGCAATTGAAAATGATAAACTGCTATCACTTTTTTCCTTATTCCTTTTTTGTGGAATATGTTATTCTGAGACATAAAATGAAGTGACTCTAAGACTTGCACAATTAGGCATTTACAAAGAGCTGTTGCATGTGGAAGTCAAATCAAATGGCCAAAGGGCAATGCTTGGGGTATACCTGAGGATAAGTTTACCTTTTTTTTTTTTTTTTAGGATGTATTACTGCTATGGGAGAGTAATCTTTTATCTTGTCCCTTGTGTTATTATTTTTTCTTTTATTTTCTTGAGCTATACATTTTTGTCTACTCCCCTTCCTGCCTCTTCCCTCCCATTCAACCCTCTCTCATGGTCTCCATGCTCCCAATTTTCTCAGGAGACCTTGTCTTTTTCTAAACTGTCCATGCAGATTAGATCCATGTATGTTGTTGTCTAGGTTTTCTGGAATTGTGAATTGTATGCTGATTTTTTTTTTTTTT